ATATATATATATATATATATCTTGCTTCTTGGAAAGATTCAGGTGGGCTCACACTGCCTTCTGTCATTTTTATTCACCAATTGGAGAATTCTTGATTTCCTTCTCTAATTAATTGCTCTTATATCCCACTATAACAGCAATCGAAGTCAAGAAAATCCACAGTGGTGCACTTAAGCTTTTGTAAACTAAGAAAGGTTAAATAGTTTTAAATCTCCTTAAAAGGCAGAAACCAAGTACCTTAAATGGTGCACTTAAAATTTTCAGCACACCAAAAGAGCTCTTAGGATTTTTAAATTAATCGTCATTCTCCATTCACCCACTCCCAATCACTTCCAAAGCAAAGCTTTTTGGAAACATTTACAACACTTCAAGAATGCTAAAATGCCACATTCTTTGAAGAATGATTAGAAATTGTAAGTGTTTCAGACATTTTTTTTTTCCGTTTAATCTAAGTGTCTCCATTTGAAAGCTTGTCAAGGTGCAGAAATGGAAAGCAAAAAAATATATATATATATTAAAGGCGATCAAGATAGGATGTCAAAACAAACTCACAATTTCCCAAGATGGTTTTATGAAGCAAAGCTGTCAGTTTTGCTGTCATGGAGCTTCAGAACAGCACAAGTTTCCATTTTTCCTCTTTGTTCACGGTGGAATTACAAACTTTCTTTTGACCTTTCAGAAACCAAGTCTGGAGTTGTGACATTTACATTACTCTTCTCCTCCTCTAATTACATAGATTTGAGCTTTAAATAGATAATAATGAGAGTTTTTCCAGATAGGAAACATGTTTTCTTACATTTTGGAAAAAGTGTATTACTGAAGTCTGGATGTACGAGCACACTGTCTTGGGGCCTGGGCTGCCTTTCTACTATTGTATCTGCCACACTGAGCACAGAAATGGTCACCTAACAGGTGTCCAGTGCACGCCTATGCGTGATGATGTCATTACATCATTACTTCCTCTTTGTGAAGAGAACTTGAGTGGTGCTTGCACTGGAAATCACTGTTTCTTAGGAGAGGTGATGTGGCTGAAAAGTAAGAGTATAATGTCTATTTCTTTCCACACTGGCCAAACTTCATGGTTTTACTATCATCTCTCCCTCTTCATCTCCAGAGCAGGGGTTCTCAACTTTAGCTGCATCAGCATCACATGAAAGATTTCTTAAAGCCCAGACCTTATTCAGAGACCAAGCTTTGAGAACAACTGCTCGGGAGAAATAAGATATTTTTCTGCTTTGTTTTAATAATTTTACATGGCCTGGTATTTTGTTTTCTGGTTGCAAGGGTATTCTTGTTGTTATCACCTGCCTTGTCTACACCCTAGAGTATTTTTGGAACCGACGCAAGACATCACGTTTTGCCATCACTTCCTCTTCCTCGTGTTTATTTTCATCACTACACAAATACATCCTGGATACTCTCTTCCTCCTTGTAATTTCGGAAGCTTTAGGCTATTCTACTGAACTCTGACCCCTGGATCTCAAAACATTTTCTTTAATTCAGGAAAAAATATAATTATGGTGCAGGGTCCTTATAAAAGAGAAATTGCATTGGAGGAGTTAAACAGGCAAGGAAGACTTTATTCACAACTATGGCAATCAGAGTGAAGACTGTCACAATAGGGGCGAGAGGTTAAACTCAACCCTGCTGAAACAAAAGGCAGGAAAGTTTATAAGTGAGCTCGTGGAAGAGTACTGGAGGACATTAGAGAGGTGATTGGTCAATTTGATTAAGCCATCTGTGTTTGCGGATTGGTGTTTATCAGAGTCAGACTCTTACCTTCCACAGAAACTGACAAATAAGGGACTATTTCTTGATGATTACATTTCAAAGGATGGCGCCCAAATCCTTAAGAAAGACATTCTTGGATTGTAAAACTGATAAATTGCTGGGAGAATATTTACATCTTAGGGGATCAGAAATGCTCTAAAAAAGGGAGGTAAAAGGCCTATGTCAGGAAGAAATTTGTCTAAAGTCAAGGCCATCATTATTACTTGTCTAGGCTGGTGGCTTATAGTTCACAAAAGAGGATATTGAGGTCCAAGGAAGTAGTCACTTCCTGAGGAAAACACAGCTAGTAACTGGCAGAGCTAGAACCCAAACTCAGGCTGTTTCCCCCTTGGAGAGTGACCGCTCCCCTTACTCCCTGGGAGTCTGCCCGTGCCCTTCCCCTCTGTCCTGCTCCCTTCCCAGTTTTCCATTTTGCTTTGCCTTGTGATCTCTTGTTCAATTTTTCCCCATGTTCTCTTTTTTCCTTTTTTTTGTCTCTCTTTTGAATGTCTACCTGAGTCTCTCACCCAGCCACTCTGCTGTCTTCTCCCTACACCTCCCACAACCTGTCCCTTAGGGTCTAGCTTCAACTTATGGGCACCCCATTGTGAGTAGCAGTGAATTTCTGTGCAGTATCCCCTAGGACTTGGCACAAGCTGTTCAGTGCCCTGGCCCTATTGGTTCTCTTTTGAATGACTCTAGAGAAAACTTGGTGGCTTAGAGCATGTCCATAGATTCCTGGTGCTTGAGTTTAAACTCAGAATCCACCACATACTAAGTACATAAAATACATAAAATTCCACTTAGGAATTTTACTTAACATCTCTGATTATCAGTTCTCATCTTCAAAATGAAGATGCTATGAAAATTAGCAGGAAATTTTATTATATTATTACTGTTGTTGCTGCTGCTGCTGCTGCTGCTGCTGCTGTTGGTGTTGACTCTCTCTGTGCTAGGGTCAAACTTGTACTGTAACATCAAGTCATATGACAAACTCTTCAGTTTGTATTGGGGCTGTGACTTCAGGGTCATAACATCAGTGGTGCAGTCTCAAATTACTCAGCATTTTCAAATGTCTTTTTAGATCCTTTAATTTTCTCCCCATGTGTTATTCAAAAGTATTTTAAATCAGTTAGATGGAGCATCCTGAATTAACTTGAAACTTTATCATTATTAATAATCAAGTCATGGAAAAAGCAAAGAAGATTCTCACCTGAGAACACTTGCGCCAGTCCATGGTATACACATACATGTGCTTTCAGGAGGCATTTGGGTCATGGTTAAATCTAGATTAGTCTGCCAAGATCAAATCCTAGCTCTGTCATTATCTAACTATGTGGGTCGACTTGAGTTATCTAACTTCTCCATGCTTCAATTTCCCTATCTATATAGGCAGTAATAGCACTTATTAGTAGTATTTATCCAAGTGCCCACACATACTAAATGCTCAAGAAATATCAGTCTTTCTTCTCTGCAGTTGCATGGTACATTCCTATCACTTATTTAAAAAGATTTCCAGTTTATCTATTCCTTACGTATGTTACCATTCAATGAGACAGAAGAATGCATTTTTAATGACATAAATCAATATTTATGGGCTAGTAATTTAAAAATTTCTTGCACTACATTCTTATAAGCTATGATATCATCAAAATCATCTATTAGTTTGAATTCACAGACATAGAAATTTTGCTTGGTGTGTTTTCTTTCCAATGTTCTGGTTAATATTCACTGCCCAAAATGACCATGGTCAAGGGTCCCATGGTCCAGTTGCAGGGAACAGCAGCTAGTGCCTAAAGGACATGGGATATAGCAGATATTTCTTTGTCCACAGTGGAGGGAGAGGGAGATGATTGGGGCTAGAGTCCGCCTTGGGGACTTCTCCTCATTGATCCAGTTACCTACGTGTTTGAGAAATCCACAGTCCATAAACATCCACATGACTTTACTCTTCTATGTCATATGAAGGATGCTCAATCTTTGCCATGAAGGCCAAACTGTCTTTGGTCCACCTCTTAGCTATGTTAATAAGATGTCTATGAATATATGAAATACAGTGCAGATCTTAAGCACTCTCAATAAGTATGATCTAGTTCTTCTACTCCCACCTGAGGGAAAAGATTATTTCTGACTATGGGCCTTCAAAATTCAGCTTTAGAGATATTGAAGAACCATCTGCATAATCAACACATCATAGGACTCCTCCTTACACTGCAGTATCTTTAATCTCCATCCTAGTCATTTTATTCTCATGACAGCTCAGTAAGACATTTCTATGGCATTAATTACTCAGGGTGATGGGAGTTTTCAGGCGCTGGGTTTGGAACTTCAAGGTATCATTTATTTATTAATTTATCACCCTAGTGGCATGTGAGAAGGCTGAATGAAACCATTCTTTATCTCTCTTTGCTAGGAAATTGATACATCAGAAAAAGATGTAGCAAATATTTCAATAAAATATAAACGCAAAATGTGGGAGGGGCATTAGTTAATCTCATCCTACAGCACTCACCTAAAATTCTTTAGTGATGGATTATTTAAAGTAAGCATTTAGACCCAGAGCTGTTGAATGATCTGTTGGTTTTTATCTCTCTCTGTTTGTAGGTTCTGAGTCTTCCAGCAGTGCCGGTTCGTCAGGATCACTGTCCCGCACCCATCCCCCTCTCCAGAGTACACCCCTGGTCTCAGGCGTGACAGCCAGTTCTCCTGGCTGTGTACCCTATCCAGAGAGTGGAATGGGGGGCCAGGTTGGTGCCAACAGCACTGGCTATATACTCCTTCCACTCGAAGCTGCAACAGGCATCCCGCCTGGAAGCATCCTTCTGAATCCACACACAGGTTAGTGTATTGCCTCGCTTTGGCAGGACCAGAATTTTGCTTGTGTTCGATCTTAACAATTTACTAGCAAGTTTTCTGAAAATTCCTGAGCAGGAGAGCATGGTGCATGAACTGCTATGGAGGAGCAGGTCTATAATTATAATCTATATCTCCATATTGATATCGGTATTAATATAGATATAGAGACTTCCCAGAAATATCTACTTTTCTCTATCTTCTCGTCACTGACCACAATGTGTCTCATGTATTCCCAGGAACTAAGATGAGAGATCATTGAGTGAGGAACTGGGATATACTAATTAAAACTTTATGTTTCTCAGAATAAATCCATGGATAGCCTGTTATGATGTTAAAAGTGTTTTTGCACCCACAATATTTCAGGAACTTGAGATATTAACTGGGACATGTAGTGGATTATTAACTATGGAAGTTGCTTTCTCACTTTGTACCTTCACCAAACTCCTCCTGGAGAATAAGGAATAGCAGTGACAGAGAGTATACAGAGAGCAAATCCTTACATATTTTAGAGATTTTAGGCCTTAGACTGGTTTTGCTGGGGTCAGAAAATTGGTAACTTCATCGTTATAGTTCTTTCCATGATAAATGGCCATTTGTTCTTTATTTTTTAGTTTTCCTAGTAGTCAGTTAACTTCCATGCTGATTTCAAAGGACCCAGAGCATTGAGCAAATAGCCTGATGAACATCTGCTTCATAGGGGTAATTTCTCGACATTGGAGGACAATGTTGCCTGTGCCTCCAAGGTCATTGGCAATATCTACAGATACTTTGATTATCATGACCTGGGGAGGAGCGGACTTCTACTAGTATTTAAGAATGTAGATGCAAGAGATGCTACTAAACATCCTGCAATGCACAGGACAGCCCCTTACAACAGAGGATTTTCCAGTCCAGAATGTCAGTAGCGCAGTGATTGAGAAACCCTAGGTTGGAAAGTTTGACATTGACTAGTAGCTTCCTTAGAAGCCTTTATAAGGGATTGAAAAAAAAATTGAGTTGTCTCAAGATATATCTGAGGTTTGGTTTAGATTATTGCAGAGTATTTCTTTGATTAGCTAAATTTGAAAATGAAAAACCAGATGCAATTCTCTTAAAAATAATCTGGCTCAATCTTCTCACATATATAGTGCTACTAGTAATTAGGAAATGCAGAGAAACATGAGAACGATAGTAAAAGAGTTACTTGAATAATTGCCACATTTTCATGAAAACATATGGCACATTCTCAAGGCATGGTGTTTGATTGAGACATTTTGAAAATGTCATCAGCTTCAGGGAAAAGAAGGCATAATCATTTTATTGAAAACCATTTGAAAGCTTTCCGATTAGAGACTGCTAAGAAGAATATTAGATTGCTTTTATTTTCTTTGGATCATTGTAAGCACTATAAAGGAAATTAAAAGAAAACCAGGATCATATTCATTACTCTGGGCACTCGAAGTACATGATTCTGTTGGCTTAAATTCTTTCACTTTTAATTGAGATGGAGGGCTCGTAGACAAGAGCACACACTAAGTATTAGTTTTGAGTGGTTTGTTTTAAGCAAAATTGTGGTGTTTCAAAAAAGCTCAACAGACTATTTTTAGGGTATAATGCAAGAATATTATTTGTAATGATAGTGTGGCTGTGCATGTGTATGCGTATGTTATTATCTGTAATCTTGTTTATAGAAAAAGAAATAAAGTGCTATCTGGTGCCAAGTCCCAATTCTGATTCACTGGATGGAGTGATTTGAGCTGTTATCAAAATATCTCCTTTGAAAAAGGACCCTAACTAAGGAACAGGGTCTAATAACACTGTTGAACAGCTTCACCATGCATATTTCTCTGATCTGATAAATGCTAGACATATCCCTAGACCAGAAGGAAAATGTACCAATATATTGTAGACCATGGTTGAGTGGTGAGATGTAAGGTGATTATGATGTTTCTTCTTTTACAGAATGTGGGATTTTTTTAATATTGAAAATATGCACATGTATGTATGTATGTATGTATACATATATATGTATACACATGTTGATATATATGTGTATATGTGCATGTCTGTCTGTCTATCTCTCTCTCCATCCATCATCTATCTATCTGTCTAGATAGCTGTCTGTCTATCTATCTATCTATCTATCTATCTATCTATCATCTATCTATCTATGTGACTACTTTGCTTCTTGTGTGAATTTTCCTTGGGTTCATTTCCTTGTTATCAGCACATTTATAAGCTCCTTGTAGGTAAAGGCCATACTTGGCTATTTTTTTTTTCCCCTAGAGTAGATAACAAAGTAGTCTTAGGCACTGTGCTCAATGATTACATATTACAGAAATATTATCTGCTACCCATTATACATGTTCATGTGGATAGGGAGCAGTTTTTCATCTAATGTCTTATATTTGAGAATGTGGCTCATGTATAAAATTATGATTGGTAAAATATCTGTCTTAAGTAGGAATAAGACAAGCTATGATTTGAAAATACTAAGGTGTCTGCCAATCATATCTACTAAATGAAACATAAATGAAACTTCCTTTGTCAGCACAATAGACTTGGCTCTTACTAAGTACTAAATATTTGGCTCACTGAAATCATCCCTGCCCACAAATATTCTTGCAGTTCTCCAAATACAGCCACAACATTTTATTTTGTCTGGCCTTAGACTCGGCTCTCAGCTGGTCTATTTCTAACTCAGGACCTCTGACCCATTCTTTCTTTGCTTTTCACACATCGGGATGGGTAAGTTGCTACAAAAGCTCTTTTTCAAAGTTATCGCTGTGAAACATCTTCGTCCTTGCAAGGCAAGCTTGGGTTTGATTCTTGAGTTTGATCTTCCTCCAGCTGTCTCAGACTCAGCCTCCTTTTGGAAATTTTTAGCAGACAGTTCATCTTTGCTTAGCTGTATTCTTTCAGCTCAGTACTATCCAGAGATGCCAATAACCTTTGGCATCCCTCAAGTACTTGTTAATGTCCGTATATGTTGTTATTCCATTTTGCTTTCCCTTCATCTGGTGCAAATTCATGAGTGTGTGAAGTGAGGGCATGCCATCTGCAGGGACTTCACTTTGAGCAGCCTTGAAGGGCTGGTCTCTTTCAAATGCTCTGAGCTTCCATGACCTTATACATTTTGTTTTTCACAAGACTTCTAGCATTTATTTATTCAAACTGTTTCCATCTTTTTCTTAATTGCATCATGAAGTTTTTATGTGCTGTCTATAAATGTATTTTTGCAAGATCTGAATCAATCCTTACCTCTCCATGATCAGTAACTCCCTTATAATTTGATTGATCACCTTCTAAAAACTAAGAAAGGAAAATCTCTTTTTCTCACCCCCTCTCTTTCTTTTTAAATAAATACTTTTTGCCTAGCCATTGGCAGAAACGCTTCAGTGTCAGGAACCAAGAGCACGTGACTACTTTGATTCCTGTGTCAGTTTTCCCTGGGTTCATTTTCTTCTTACCAGCACATTTATAAGCTCTCTCTGGGGAGAGCTCATAGTTAGTTGTGTTTCTGTTTTTGTTTTGAATCCTGGAATAGATAACATAGTCTTTAGTCACTGTGCAGGTACTCAGTAATTATGTTAGTAAAATAAAATCTACGACACATTGTACAGGTCGATGTGGAGAGGGGAGAAGTTTTTCACCTAATGTCACGTGTTTGAGAGGAAGGAGCACAATGCATTGAATCCTTTCTTCTGAGCTCAGGGCACCCTGGCTTACCTCTGTCATCGCACCCTCTTTACCCACGCCAACACACATGTCAGGGCCTGCAGGGCACAGTAGTGAAGTTCCTGACATGAAAACCTCTTCTTAGCCGAATAGTCATAAGGCCAGCTAGTGTTTCTTTCCCTTTTGGTCTTCAGCAGCTGTCATTCAAACTAATTGCTTGTATTCAGTGGTAATTGCATCTGTATTTGGTGTAAATGATAGAATATAGAAAGGTGAGCATTGCCTGACTTGAAAACCAATAGTTGCCATCCTCACTCTCGTAGGAAATTGTCTTTGTTCTCTTTCCTGCTATCTGTTTTACTTCTTTCATTTTCTTCATTATTTTTACATCTCCTTGGTGAGCATAAAATCAATCTTTTATACTCTTTTCTCTTTCCAGGACAACCTTCCATCTCCTTCTACCCAAGTGAATTCTTATTGTTTTTCATATGCAATTGCTTAGAAACATTTCTTTTTTCTGGTCCACAACATATTAATAATATTTCAAAGAGGAGATCTAAAATTTATCACAAAGAACCTCTGAATATTTTATGGTTATGTTTTCACCCTGATTATGGTCAGTTTTTTCACACTTCCCTGGGAGTAAATTGAAGGTCATATAGAACCAGGAGTTCCTAACCTCCGGGCTGTATACCGGTGCTGGTTCCTGGCCTGTTAGGAACTGGGGCACACAGCAGGAGGTGGGCAGTGGGCCAGCAAGCAAAGCTTCATCTGTATTTGCAGCTGCTCCCCAGCGCTAGCATCACTGCCTCAGATCCACCTCAGATCCTCAGGGATTAGATTCTCATAGGAACACTGGTCCCTGATGTCGAAAATGTTGGGAACACCGATATAGAATATAATAGATTCTTTCTTTTAGTTTTCCATCTTCGTGTGTACGTTTGTATGTGTGTTTGTGTAAGTACAGAGTGAGGCTGATTTTGAAACGATTTCATATAAAGTTGCTGTGAAAATTTTGTAAATGTTAAGCACCTAAAATTTTCCTCTTATGTTTTTAAGATACAAAGGTGGAGGTGGGTGAGGGGCGATGAAAGATTAGAATTCTAAATGGGCTGATAAAATTTTGAAAATTGAACTGTTTTTTCATCCATTCTCACATCACCGGTTTTGGAGGAAAAACAAGTTGCACATTTTAAATCCAGAAGTTATTTTTACAAAAAGAAAAAATATATAAAATAAATTAAATGACAGTGATAGAAAAACAAATGCCTATGGGGAACATTAGAAAAAAATATACCACTAAATTTAGTTCTGTGAATATAATTCTGGTACATTTGCTTTTCTATCGTTAGCACATTGTGATTGGTTATGAAATCATTGTCAGAACTTCCTTAGTTGTGGCAAGTATGTTCATAAATATGAGCATTTAAGGTTTCTTGTCGCATACATGAAATATATATCGTCTGAAAATTTCCAGTAATATTGAGGAACTATCATTGCAATTCCTAACAGAGCTGAAGGCAAGTCCATTGCTCTTTTCATGTGAGCATTTTGGCTGGTTTCACTACTGACCCCAGCAATTGCCCCCCCAACCTATTCCAATTTCCTTTCTTAATGTCATTTATAAAGTGTACAGGTGAAGTGCATGATCTACACATATTTGATGTGTAGCCTTGGTAAATATTTGAATATGTGAACGCCTGTGTAAACATCACGCTGAGTAAGACAGAGTCTCCTCGTAGCTTCCCCCATACCCCTTAGAGTTACTGCTATTCTGACTTCCATTACATCGCTAAATGTTGCCTGACCTTGAATTTGATAGAAATGGAATTATACAGTAGCTGCCCTTTTAGGACTGGTTCCTTTCATTTAGCATACATAAGCTAATTAGCTGAGTTCTCATTTTATAACAGTCTCTTCTTATTGAATAGTGTACAATTTGTTTTCATTAAAATATAGTTTCCTTTGGGTCAGTTTTTCTATTTTCCCTCTCAGTCTTGTTCCTTTCGATTGCAAATTTTCCTCACATTACTGGCCATCTTTGGTTGCTCTTCATATACATTATGAAAGAACAAGACTGATTTCCTTACCCAAACATGCTGCTTACCCTGGATAAGGGTGCTCATGTAATTCCTGCATATTGATCAATGTAAGGAGATGCTTTTGGGGAGAACTCAGCAAGCTGTCTCTGCCATCTCCTTAATGCCAAGAGCAGGGATCACCCTCCTGTGAGACACCAACCCCATACTTGCAGTCCTTCTCTTCCCAGACATTTTGTTCAGGCTTCTAGAGAATATTTCCATGGCTTCAGCTTGGGGATACACATTTCTACTGCTGCCTTTCCCATAGGGATGTGGAGGTTATAGAATAGGAAAGAAAGGACTCACAAACTGTCCCGCAAATACTTTGCCAACCCATTGACCCATATTCTCATCCTGCCCATTCTTTATCTACGAATTCCGGGTGTGATTCCACTTTGAAACATGGCCCCCACCTCTCCTGACTTCTCATGCATTGGTTAATAATTTTCAGTGATGACTGGATTTTTTTTCATGGTATCTCTTTGTACCAGATACTCATTGTGTAAACTAGGATAATTCTCTTCCGTTATTCGGCGTAAGGGGAAGTAAATGGACTTTGGAGTCATATTGACAAGAGTCGTTTCCTGATTCTCTCGCTTACTGCTTTTTTGTTTGTTTGTTTTGATTCTGTTTTCTGAATAAGTTGCTTGGCCCTTTGAATTCTAATTTTTTTGTCTCCAAACCGGGATGAGATTGCACATCTGAGGGTTGTTGGAAGAGCTAAGATCATACATGTCAGGTGCCTGTCACTGTGCCTGCCATATTGGAAACTGATTTGTTCTCTCCTTTACCTTCCTTTTCTTCCCCCTTTTCTCTCTTTCATTTTCTGCTCCATACTTTCCTTCTTTCAGCTCCTTATTCCTATAACCTTTCTGATGGGCCTTCATTTCCCCTTCTGAAACAGAGAAATAAGGAACATCTTCCTTCCAAACAGAGCCATGACGAGGCTCCAATAATACTATTTTTTAAACTATAAAATACTCCCCAAATAGTGGTAATAATAATAGTGAACTATGCCATCATTTCAAATGGCAAAATATTGTATTTTGCTTCACCATTATAAGATGGTCCTGTGACAAGCTTACTACACATCACCTTTAAAATAGAAATCTCCATGTCTTTTGCTTGTGTCTCTGCAGAGAAGTAAATGAATGGATGTGGTATGTTCTGTTGCATATATATTTGTGGAATTCATAATGATACTGAATTGGAGACAAAGCTAGGAGAAGCAAAACACATGTATTGGTAAATAATGTGTAACCGAAGGTAGTTGGGATAATACAAAAGGAAAGCAGCCCCCTCTCAGAGTACATTAGTATCTCACTGGTGGCTGTGAGGTGCAGGGCAGCAAAACACAAGGCTTCTTGAAGATTGCTTCTCCACAGGCCTTCTCCACTGGGTGCTACTGTACTTGACTTTGGGAGATCTCCCTGAAGGTGGTAGATTTATTTGCTGCTTCTTAACATTGCTCTGGGCTTACATTGTTATATAATGTAAGCTGAACCGGGTGGGTCAAAAATAGCAAAGTCTTCACATGGGCGAAGGTTCTCGTGTCCTGGATTGCTACCACCCTGCCCCTTTGCTTAAGGTTGCTTTTTAAATATCTATCAGAGTGGTTATTGCTGCCAAAGGAGAGATTGAGAGGCTCACCTGGACCAATGGTTCCATTGCAGGCCAGCCCTTTGTGAATCCCGATGGAACCCCTGCAATATACAACCCCCCCACCAGTCAGCAATCCCTGCGAGGCACGATGGTGGGGCAGTCCCAGCAGCAGCCACAGCAGCAGCCCTCTCCTCAGCCACAGCAGCAGGTCCAGCCACCACAGCCGCAAATGGCAGGCCCCCTGGTCACTCAGGTAAGGAGCTGGCTGGAGGCAGGGAGGAGACATGCTTTAAGGTGAAGGTTGCACAGCCTTCAGGACAGCAGTGCATCAGGAAGAGGGGATATTTTCCATCAGCGTGACCCTCATCCACTCATCAATAAAACCTGGCAGCCTAGACTCTGGTCACAGGTTGGCAGGATTTCATCTGGAACCTTACGTTTAGATAGAGATGAGTGGACCATCCAATGACTTGCATGACGAGGGCATGGTGCAAGGGGAAATGAATGACATGTTTTTCTTAGGGCTAGACATGATTTTTATGTATCAAGGAGCCTGTCTTGGGGATTGACCGCATATTCCCGCCAGGGCCTTTGTATCAACTCGCTCACCCATTCCCAGCACACACCAAGTGCTCCTGATTGCAAAGAGTCAGTAGTAAAGACTTTATCATTGGAAAGAATAGAAATCAGTTTAGTTCCAAGGTGACCTGGAGACACATAGAGACCTTAGAGACACATAGAGCTGCCCCCATTTGCCTGAGGCAACACCTGGCAATGTCCACAGAACCCCGAAGGGTTCTGAGTAGGTTGCTGGAGTGAAACTTGTTTTAAATATTTTTTTCCTTACTTCTTATTCCTTGGGCCATATTTTTAGACCCAGAAGATCTAACCAATGACAACGTAAAAAGTGTCACAGTATGTTCTTAAAGAGGTGTTCACTCTGAGCAAACGAGCCTCCATAAGGGCAGGCTGGCTCCAGCCTGCATGACTTGGATTTGCCTTTGGTGCCTGGTTCTTGTCTCTGAAGTGCACGGAGCCAAGAGGACCTGTAGGGGGTGGTGGGTGGTATGCTTTGGATATGACAGCCTTCCAGTGGGATTTTAGCCCCCACCCCAAGTGCTTCCTTGTTAACTGATCAGCTTTTTCTTTCCTCCAGTCTGTCCAGGGGCTGCAGGCTTCCTCCCAGTCAGTGCAATACCCAGCAGTCTCGTTTCCTCCCCAGCATCTCCTGCCTGTGTCTCCAACGCAGCAGTTCCCCATGGTACTGTGTTTCATGTGTATGCCTTTTGCCCCAGGAGAGCATAGTCACGATTTTACTTTCCCGTGTGGGCCTGGTTGGTGCCAGATGGGTGCCCTAGGCTGACTATGAGGGATGTGTGTGAATATCTCATTTCAGAACATTACAACACATCTTCGAAGTCATGGTTTTCTTTCTGTCATTTGTTTCGTGGTTAGTGCTTCTGCAATCTGGTACCCTTTTATTTTTAAGAGTGTGCCAGTTCAGCGGGAATCGAATGCCATCAGTTAGAAGTCAGAAACACACTCACGAACTTGGCGTGAGGGTTTGGGAAATAGCTGAAAGTCAGCGTCAAAATGGTAACCATGCACTCCTGATAAAATGTCCTCTCACATCCCAAACCCCTAGGTTCCCCTTCATTCCTCCTCAATGTACTAGGTCCTTTTGGACAACAAGAGTGAGCATTGCCCCTAAATCTCCAGTGAGCAAACACTCCATAATTTACAAACGGGGTCCCACCCAGCTGACACAGGTTCTGGCCTGACCTTTGCAACAGCTGTGGGTAATGATGAACATAAGTCCTCCTGCCTCTCCCCAGAAGGCAGGTCCTGTGGCTACTGCTAGGAAGAGCATTCGACTCTTCAGGACAAAACACCAAGCCCTCTTGTCTCGGCGCCATCCTGAGAAGCCCAAGCCCTTAGTGAAAAAGTAATAATTGGATGCCATCGAAGGAGGAAGATTTGAGTCAAACTGTTTGCCATCTCTGATCCTCAGGATGATTAAATCTGCATTCTCTTGTTCTAGCTGGAGAATCCCTTCCTTTTATTTTTTCCAAATCGTACTCCCTGCTTCTCACACAATGACAGTCGTGTGGCCTATGTCTGCCTCTGTGTGCCTCTCCCATTGCTAAGTGGATCTCCCTGATTTCCTCCTTTTTTTTTGTGTCTTGCAGAGAGATGATGTGGCGACACAGTTTGGCCAGATGAACCTGAGTAGGCAGTCCTCAGGAGAGACTCCTGAGCCCCCATCTGGCCCTGTCTACCCCCCATCCCTCATGCCCCAGCCAACCCAACAGCCCAGCTATGTCATCGCCTCTACAGGCCAGCAGCTCCCCACAGGGGGATTCTCAGGCTCTGCACCTTCCATCTCTCAACAAGTTCTCCAGGCCCCTCCCTCACCACAGGGATTTGTGCAACAGCCTCCACCTGCACAGGTAAGCATGCTTTTTCTCACACCTGTGACCTGTAGCTGATTTGTGCTGCACTTTGACTTCTATATTTCCATGTAGAATGTTGCCAGGTCAGTCTCTCTTGCCCTTCTGGCTTATACCGATATTCTCCACCTGCAGGACCTGATCTGTCCTGTTCAGTAGTTGTGCAAAAAATAAGTTTAATGAAACCGACCCAACTGTCCATGGTTCAATTGGGGGAACATCCCATCTTCCAGACTGCCAGTACGGAGGCCACAAGAAAACAATCCCTTCTAGGTGATGCCCTGCTCATGCATTGTCTAGGAATGGAAAGCCTTGGACGAGAGGAACATCCGCTCCTGGGGACTTTCAATGTTCTCTTGCTCCTGCTCTGGGAATTTGTTCTTTCCTCTCTTACAGATTCATAGAATTTTCTGGAGCTAACTTGGTGCTCCAGGCAGGGGCTCCTCTATGAATATAAAGGAGGAAGCTAAGCCAACATGCGCTGTCCTGTCCTTTCCCTCGGGGGAAGCTGAGTTTACTCGTATTCTCACAAGTGGCCATTCATCATATTTAATTGACTCGAGCATGTAAGACACCACAGATCACTGATTTTTACTGTCCTCTCAAAGACTGATTATGTGTTACTGTTCACCACCAAACATCTCTGGTGCTCTCCTGGGTATCCCGTGCAGAATATTGCAAGTGATTACTGTCAAGATGTAAAATGCACAGAGGCGTTTTCTGGTCCATTTTCAAGGCACACATATCCTAGGCAAATTCCATCCTAATTATGAAATATCGCACTGGACGAGCTGCTTAAAGCACAGTGTCACCTTCTTATTGTTTGTTTCACCGCCTTAACATCTTGAATAAATTATTTTCTTTTCAAGTCATGCAAAACCCTCCACCATGAAAGAGTTTTCACTCCGTTGTTTATTTTATTTCGAGCAATTAATAGTTCATCTTCTGTTACCTTCTCAGTAATGTCGCTTTGCCAGTAGGATTTAAGGAGATGTGGAAAATCCTTTGAAGTTACAGGAGAAAGGACCTCATTAGTATATTAATTATTTTGCTAATAAATTAAGTACTTTAATTATTGGAAAAATTGTTTAGCTTTTTAGCCTAAATAACATCTAAGCTTTTACCCATTTCTGCTGTCAAAGACGGGAGTTGGTGGAATATTTAATTGAAGACTTTTAAATAAAAGTTCCTCCTTGATGAAGGAATTTCAGTTTTAGTGGATTGCAGGAGCAAAGACAACTCAGAACTCCTGGTATATCTGCAATGGAAATGCTTTCGTTCCTGCTTCAATAGATTTAAAAATAGAAAGAGGGAGGGGAGAAAAAAAAGGCAAAATGGATGTTCATGATCAGTTTAGACATCCATGAATTTCTTTTAAAAGAAACACAGATTAAGCTACAGGATATAATTTCCAATTTAGTAAACAATTTTTCCTTTTTTTTTTTTTTAAGTGGAACATATCTACAATGGAATGTTACAATTTAGGAAACATTTTAAAACTTGATTATTCAACTGTGAAAAGAACTTGTGAGACACAGTCCGTGGGCATACATGGAGATATGTTAAACTTACACAGAGAACGAACTTTTTAATACCCTTGGAGGCCAATTGTGTCTGATTTGTCATGTGTGCTTTCTGGGTGCTCACTGGAAGCAAGAAACATATGGACAAGACAAAGAGGGATTTGAAGAAGGGAAGTGGGAGAAGTGCTTATCTTTTATGGTTTATCCTCTCATTTATTTATTTCCTCTCCTAATCCACTCACTTTTTGATTCTCTGTATTTTAACATAGTTGTTGAAAATATACATTTCTTCCCTTTGGGGCTATTCTTGCTCCTTCGTTCCTTCACCTTTCTCCCTTCCAACCTTTCAAATTTATCCTTTAAAGATTCCTCTTAGCTCAGCTCGGCTGCCGTTCTCAGTGATGGAGGATGAGGATGAGCCAAGTGCCATTTCCCACTTGCTTTATATGCTTGGGAGCTACAATTCCTGAGAGCTGGCTAATACTCCACCTCGGAGAGATGCTGGATGGAAGTGACTGAATCTTTAGCACATTTTGTCAGGGTATCAAAGAAGGTAGAAGTAGGAGAATAAAACAAGATCAAAACAAAAAGCAGTACTAAAAATGAGGTGTGCGCGCTCTCTCTCTCTCTCTCTCTCTCTCTCTCTCTCTCTCTCTCTCTCTCTCAAGAGCTATACTTTTATCCAAACCATTAGTGTTTATCAGGAAAGTTTTTTCAAAAGCTGTTTGAAGTCTGTCCTTCATCCCTGAAGGTGTTTTCATATTTCATACTGAATGTAAGAGGAGAGACTGAGAGCCAGATAGCATATTTAAGAGCTTACGTTGAATCAAGACACAGCCTCTCCTAAAGGAACAAAATACGGTTCTCCCTAAAAGTCCTACATATATAATGCTGATGTATCAATTAGATAGTATTTGTTCTTATTCTTAATATTAGGAAGCACTTACTACTATAGAATGGTGATAATCTTTAATAGCACCACAATCTGCCAGAGCGTAACTAAAACCAATTATTACTCCAGAATTATTTGGATTTTTATTGTTATAAATTGCTTACAAAGAAAGGGAGAAATAGTAAGATTAAATCACTATAAACAATACATATAATAAATTAGTTAATTGCCAGATATAGACCTGTGTTTGTTTCAGATTCATGCAGCTTCTTACCCTTAAATATCCATATTGTTAGATAGAATTATAATTCATAATCATTCCATGAGATCACAAAACCATAGACCCACAGAGACTGTTATCTTTTTTGTCCCTACTTTATCCCTAGGCAGGAAAACATGTTATGTATGTTTCAATAGCAAGATTGAAAAAGAAAAGTGTTTCCTATTTGATATGAGCAAATCAGAAATAAAATAGCCGTAAAAATCATAATTCTCAAAGAGGTGGCTCATACTTTTACTCTATGAATATAATACTTATAGGGCGTGTATTGGTGTGCCTCTGCCTACACTTTAAAGAAGATGATAGAAGAAAATTCAGAAGCCTAGAAATGAAAAATAATTAAGATTCATAAGAAAATAACCTTAAAATAAATGACCTCAGGTGGGCAAGGAAGTCTTTCCAGATGAGGAGAGATTAGATTTGAATCTAACCAGAGGTAATTAGAATATTTACGGGCATTGCCAGTCATTAGAAAGTAATAGGAAGTGCTATAGACACTATTTTAATATTTTTCTCGTTTTGGATTGAACATAAATTTTTTGGATACTTCCGATGTGCCAATCACTCTGCAAAGTGCTTTGGCAGACTTTATTATATTTCATAATTTTATTCTCTGCTTCTTTTAGGCTAGAGATCAGCAGTTCTCATGCCTCACCTGTGTTTCCACTAGAAAAACACTTCAAGTTAGATATAATATTTAAAACTATCATAAAAGATTTTTGTTGTTGTTGTAGATGACTGTTTTATTCACTCGTGCTTCATTCAAAAAACACAAAATTCAGTGTTCTAAAACAACCATTGTATTACTCATGACTATCAGTAAATTGAACAGGACTCGGCAAGGGTGGGTCGCCTCTGCTCCATGCGGTATTACCTGGGACAGCCTGGAACACTCAAGGTGGCCTCGCATATGCCTCGAACGTTGGTGTAGCCTGCAGACTGAGGCTCCTCTATTCTCCACGTGGCCTCCTTCTCCAGCAGTGTAGCCTGGGCTTTTTTTTCCTGGTGGCTGAGCTGTCCTCCTGCAAAAGTGGAAGCTGCAAGTCTTCTTAAGGATCAGGCTTGCAAGTCACAGAAGTCATCTTGGTTGCCTCATGGCACTGGTCAAAGCCAGTCACAGAGCCAGCTCAGATTCAAGGGCTTGGGGAATCGATTCCACTTCTATCTCTATGGGAAGAGGAGCCTGTACACACACATAGGCCTGGGGGAAGATTTCGGCAGTTGTGTTTACGATCTACCACAATCATACTGCAATTTACTACATACGATCATATGATCGTATAATCTACTACAGTCTATTACAATCTACTACAATCATAAGATGACGTATTTTACATTTTAAAAATTGTTACTTAGTGCACAGTTCTCATTTCCTTTTCTCTTTCTTCCACAGATGCCCATATATTATTATCCATCTGGTCAGTACCCTACCTCAACTACACAGCAGTACCGGCCCATGGCCTCAGTTCAGTACAGTGCTCAGAGGGGTCAGCAGTTGCCACAGACAGCACAACAAGCAGGTACTTGGAATCCGTCTCCCATTTTCTCCTCTAACCCAGTTATTTTTGCACGTAAATCTCTCAGCTGTCCTCTCTGGATGAGTATCCAAGCGTGGCAATTTAAATCAGTTCATTTCCCTTACCCAGGGAAGATAACGGAACATTTGATTAACTCCATGCGGAAAGGTAACAGGTACAAGAGGGTGAAGCCCCCATCACTCCAGCATCACAGGCATGCATGCTAAACGCAGTCTCCATGAATTCTTTTGGGATCCTCTTAGTTTATTCTGAAGCAGAGAGCCAAGCACATCCCGGTCTTCCAAGTTCATACCTTTTTTTTCTTTTTTCCTTTTTAATTTAAAGAGAATTCTTCCCCTTTTCCTAAGGCTAGGGGACTACATTAGGTCGTTTCTATTCCATCCTAAAAAGCCCTGTCTTGAGAAGAAGGTCACTGACATTGCAGCCTGTGTCCCGGTGGAATTCTGACTCCACGGCTCACTCTCTCGGCAGCCACTGTGCAGTGGGAAGGGGGGCCGATGCACTGTACGAGAGTGAGTAGCAGGTCTCACAGTGAA